ATCTGTCTTACGCATCGAGCGAGCAACAAAAAGCAGGAGATACAAACACATCTGCTGTGGTTTGACTCAGGTTTGACACAAGCACACACACACGCACGCACGGCTTTAAGCTTCTCTTTATGCACGTGTGTGCGCTCATTAGGGCTTCGTGTTAACTTGTTAACTTGTGCTTTCCAAACAAGGTCGAGCTTCAGATATCAGGGCTGCTCTTAGTTATATTTTATGTTGATTAAAACCAAGAATGAGAGCCAGAGAGAGTCAGGCTTCATTTATTAACTTTATAGTTAATATAGTAACTTGGAGAGCTATTATATATACATTTCTTTCAATATAGTGCTGAGTCATTTTAAGCCTTTATGAGAGAAAATAGAAGAGTAGAGCATAAAGTGTGAGACATGAAAGGCCTCGTTTTGTAGTTTGTTTCCGATGTAGAGCTCTGATTAAAATATAATATATTATTCGATAACCTTTTACTACATATGATGAAAACTGTCTTCCACTGATGCTTTTACTTTAAATAAGGACCTAAACAACTAACTGCACTCTATTATCTTTATATTTAAACCACATAAATGCTTAAATCTGTAAACACCTTACGCCCTGGAGTTTCTTTTAATGGGACTTAATCTGAGGAAAGAAGTTTTTCTCTGCTGACATCTTAGCTTCAGGATGGACGAGTTAGCCAGACTCGAGACAACCAGGTTCGAGATAAACACGGTGGAAAAGCCGCACAATGATGCCTCTTTATTTTTATTAATTTTGTATTGATTCATTGGAAGCGGATAACAAACTGCTCCAGAACTTATCATAGAAACTAAATGTGAACAATAACTGCATGTTCGAACTAAGTGTAGAGCTTTTTAAGGAGAGATTTTTGTTTCAGCTCCAGTGCATGGGTTAGTTATGTGTGATTAGTTATTTAATATCTGCCCGCCAACCCGTCTGATAATCCTTTGACTGAAGAGTAAACGACATTTAAACGTGACCTTAAACTTGAGATTTGATTCCTCTAATAACATCAGACTTGCACTAAACCACAAATATTTTTCTTGTCTAAACTTTTCTTTTTAAAAGTCGCAGCACTACAGATGCTCCAGATTAGATTCTCTTAAAGTAGCTTTGCATGAGTCACAGTTCAAAATAATCCTTATC